ACGAATAGAGATGGGTTTAATTTTGCAGAAAGAGATCGGAAATTTCCTCTCTTTTTCTTCACGGGTCCTTCGGCTCTGTGAAATAACGGAAATGCCACCCCGTCTGTGGTTTGAATTTGGAATTTTCAATTCGGACACATAAGCCTCGTTAAAAGACCAATTTAATTAAAAAAGGCCAAATAAATTAAAATATTAATAAAATAAAATATCATATTTAAATTATAATTATTTTATTTATTCTTTTACAAAGGTTAAAAAGTCTAATTTAAACAAAATTTTTTAACTTCAAATTAAAATAGTTAAAAAATCAATCAACTTTCTAAACGAAACCAGTCGTTATGTGGTTTGTCCATTAAGAGATATCTTTTGGGAATTTTTTTTTTAAATTTGTTGGATTGAAATTTTTTTTTAAAAAAAAGAAGGAAAATTATCGAAAAGTCTCATATGAGAATGTTATTCCAATCGGTTCGATGGATTTTCTAATACACTAATAGATCCGGTTTGTTTTGACAACTTTACCATGAGATCTTATTTTAAATTTTGGTATGATCTTGTAGATCTTTCTACCCTTTCTCGTTGGGAGAAGTTATCTTAGAGAAATTAGATCTAATTTTTGGCTCACATTTTCGTCACTCCAATATAACACTCAAACGTAACACTCTAAAAAAACTCCTTAATATATTTTTCTTAAATATAACACTTTAACGTAACACACTAACAAATTTCTTAGTGTACTTTTGTTAAATGTAACAGTCTAACACTAAAAAATTTCTCAGTGTAATTTTTCATAACGTAATACTCCACGGTAACACTAAAAAAAATACTCTAATACAACACACTAAAAAATTCATCCAACGTAACACACTGACTCCTTAGTGTACTTTACCTAGACGTAATACTCCAACACTAAAAGACTCTTTAGTGTATTTTTTCCAAACCTAACACTCAAAAAACGTAACACATTAAAAAAAATTCTTAGTGTACTTTTATAAATGTAACATTTCAATATAACTTCCCAAATATAACACTCTAATATGGCGGGCAAATAAGTTATTATGCATCTAAAAGGACTAAATGGATTACAAGAAAAATATAAGACTATATGGCCATATTTGTTTAGCGGATTAGATTGGATATGATTGTTAGTGAAAGAATGGTTAGTGAAGAGATTGTAGATGTGGAGATTATTAAGTAAAAGTGTGTTCGTTTTGATAATAGTGTGATATGGTTAATGATGTGATTATTAAATTATTTTTATATAAAATAAATAAACAAACTATTTCTATATTTAAAAAAAAAAAGACATATATTAAAACAAACTGATGCACTTGGTAAAAAAAATTAAAAAGAATTTTTTTTTATAAAAAATAGACTCAATCCGCTTACTATTTTTCTAATCCTATGCAAAATTTACCCAAGCTATTCCCCTTATCGAGGGGGATTACTAAGCTCTCTGCACTAGCAATTCCCCCTCCCAAATCAACACCAAACAAGCTATAGGTGGGACCGACAGCCATATCAATCTAGTCCGACCACCCACATTGATAAACAAACATGGCCATGAATCACAAGTCCAAAATATATGACCTATTGGTCAATCTTCCATGAAAAAACATGCATTTGATATGAACATAAGGGCAATATTGTCTTTTCAAGGACAGGACTAATTGGAATAATAAAATAAATTTTGGACCACTTAAAATATAATTAATTAAAGTAAGATTTATGAAAAAAGCTTCCAATTAATATTTAATATTTTAAACTCTTAAATTCATCTAGAAATTTGACCTTGTATAATTGACTCTGTACAAATAAAAAATGTAAATAGATATTTAAGAATCTTTTAGGGTTATTTGGCATGTGCTACTTTAACCCATCTTTTTATGTTTTTATTTTATTCGAGTCATATCACTTTTCTATCATATTGTATATATATATTTTTTATTTATAAAAAGTCAAAAAGACTATGTTTAGCACAAAATTTTTGGGCTAAAATAGCCCAAAAAAAAAATAGGCTAAAAAGTTAATAAGACAAAATGTTACATCTAAACCATAATCATTTTATTTTTTCTCTCATAAAAGTCAAAAAGTCAAAAAAATCCCTTCCAAACGAGACTTTTTAGCCCAGGCTAAAATAGCCAAAAAGTCAAAAAGTCAATCCACATCCCAAACAAATATAAATTATATTTATTTAAATTATCCCAAATAAGCCCTTAATCATTTTTAAATTTTTATTGAATTCTTAGAACAACTAAAATTGATTTTTTGGTGAAAAATAAATGTGCCAAATAACACAACTTTCTTTAACATAACAAGCTCTTTTAACTAATAAATTAACTTCAACTTGATGTTGATCTTAAATATAAATCAAATAAATAATAAAAATATTCCCCCTTATCCATTTTCCTTGCGTCAAAGTCATCGATATATCTTTTTTCTTTTTCTTTTTTTTTGATAAATTACACTTACACCCCTAGGATTTAAATTTAATACGTATCGCCTAATGTTTAAAAAATCACACTAACACTCTTGTCATTGTAATTATTTAGATAAAATGAAGATATTGAACTCTTACACTCTCTCTTTTCTTGCTTTACTTTACTTTTTTTTTTTTTCCTTTCTTTTGCTTTACTTTTTTTAAAAAATATAATTTCCTCTAGGAGTTGTTGCCTTTTATATAAACAGAGGGGTTGTGAAATGAGACTATTAACTACAAGAGTGAGAATGTAATTTTCAAAACGTTAGGGGTGGGATGTAATTGGACCAAATCTCAAGGGGTGTTAATATAATTTACCATTTAAAAAAAAAACTTCAATATTTAATGTACCCCAATTTTTTTTTAAAAATATTTTGTATGTAAAACTTGCAATTCAATCCCAATTGAAATAGTATTCATTGTAATCTGTTCAACCGTTCCCTCCCAAAGTTTGTTCATAAATTCTAAACCACAAATGTTGTACCGTTTTATAAATCCATAAATATAGTTCACATCTGATATAAAATAACAACATTTTATACTACAAAAACAATTGTTTGGCAACCCAAAAAACACTTCTTTACTTCACAGCCTTAGAAAACTGTTTTTTTATGGCTGTTTTCATTTTCATACAACAACCTATCTTATTAAAACACAAAATAAAAATTTAAAACTAAAGTTTGAAAGCACTATCAACTAAAATTTTGTTACATTTTCTTTTCTAAATCCAATATCCAAACACAATGGCTTCGTTTGGGAAGTTGCTATTTTAATAGGCTATTTTAGTTTTTGGTTATTTTAGTAGGCTAAAATTTTTATGTTTGGGAAGATGATTGGATTTTTTTATAGTTGGATGTGATGTTTGTGAGAGAAAAAGTGAAATGATTATGAGTTTGATGTGATATTTTGTCTTATTAGCTATTTCAGTCTATTTTGTCTTTTTGTGAATTTTAACCTAAATTAGGCTATTTTTTTTCTTCCCAAACACCTCCAATATAAAAGAATTAAAATAAATTATAAATTTATTTGATGTAACTTTTAATATTTTATTAACTAAAATTTGTTACATTTTATTTTCTAAATCCAATATCCAAACACAATATAAAAGAATTAAAATAAATTATAAATTTATATGATGTAACTTTTGATATTTTATTAAAGAATTTGAACTTATTTGCCTAATAAAGTGTCATATATATATATATATAGTTTTTTGAGCTAAAATAAATAAACAGAGAGTTGTGAGCTAGATTGCTTGTGTAACTTGATTATTGATGCAAATTACTATAATGGGAAAAATGTAAAATAATAGTGTAAACGAGATATGTGTCTAGTGTAATTTCAATAGAGTGCGAAGGTTTTATGATTGTACTCGGCACATTATTTTTTTCTCTTCTGAAGTTTGAAAAAATTAAATTATGTCTTACAATTTTAATATAATTATACTTGCATAACATTTTATTCTATTATGTTAGAAGATTGAGAATTTTTTACTACTATTTTATTCAATAGTATTTCAATTTTGCCTTTATACTCATTATTTTAAATAAAATTAAAAATAAAATATAGGTTAATTGGTGGAACAAAATTACTTGTTTACACCTAGCAACTTTTTTTTTTTTTAATGGATTACTCAATTAATTTAGTTTTTTTTTTTTAATTTTCCTCCATACAAAGTGATCTTTTTAAAACAATGTAAATATAAGCATACAAAAGCAATTTAATCATCTAACTTAACATTGTTAATATATCTATTATTGCTAAATGAAAGGTTAATATATTTATGTTAAAATTGTCATATTTGAAAGAATTAGTATAATTCATTCCATTTATAAATTATTTCATAATAATATATATAAAAAAGAATTTAAAAGAAAAGTACAGTACTCTCCTTTGAATGACAATTGACTTCTAGATAAATGTTGTTCAAAAAAAAAAAAAAAAAAAAAATTAACTTCTAGGAAAATGGTTATCGTTGACAAATCATGGATAGTATTAGAAATTAAGCCAATAAAAAAATTGAAAAATGAACTACCACTTGTGCATATTCAACAGCGAACGCCGTGGATGACCTTTGCATGCATAAATTAAACTTGCCATTAGTGAGTATTTTAAATATATTTATTTATTCTCCTCTTTTTCTTCTTCTAATGTTTCCTACTAAGGGTGTTTGCATATCGAGTTGGATCGAGTGATCTCTTATCCGTTATCTGTTCAAATTTAGATAAATTAAAAAAAAATCAATCTGCATCTATTCACTTAGTTAGTGGATGCGTATTAAGCGGACTGCACGAGTTGGCTGGTGGATGTGGATCGGTTTAACAGTGTAGACTTTACTATTTTAGGCCTTCTTCCAAACTCTTTTTTTAGTAATTCTTTACTATTTTGGACCTAACATTTTTTATTTTTCATTTTTATAATAAAAATAAAGGCTCAACTTTCATATTTCACAAATGGCAAATATAATTATTAAGTAAAATATCTTCTTTTTTTTTTAACACAAAGCATAAAAAAATATGACATT